AATATTTCTATTTTTGCACCAAGCATCAGTTTGTAAAATGACAAATATGGTAGCACAAGCTCAGTTCAATACAGGCTTATGATCAGAATCACATTTTTGCTGGTGAGATTTAGTTGAGATCTAAATGAATCAAACTTCTATGTCACGTGTAGCTTTGGGGAATCAGATGTGCACTAATTAGAAATCATCCTTTTTTTCTTGAATTATTAAATATAACTGGTCAGAACTCATCTTGTTTTCTTGCTAGAAGACAATACACTTGAGAGAGACATGCTGAATTTCTCACCTCCCTATCTTCTCCCTTGTGGGAGCAGATGTCTAAGCATTTTATCATACATACAAATAATTGTCTACCATTATTCTACAGTAAAACATTCAGATTTGGTACTTGGGCCTCCTTCAAAATGGCAGGATGCAAATCCACACACCTTCAAAAAGTAATACAAAAGGCTTTTTCCTTTATAATTTATCATTCGAATACTTTCTGTACAGAGGACTTATTTCTAGCTCAAGATCCCACTCTGAAAGTTTCCCCCCCAGTTTTCTGTTTCCCTTCAGCCATAAGAAGGCAGGATTCAAATGCTTGCTTTACCAATTTCTTGTTCATCACTATCCAGCAGCAGAGCTCACAGCATAATCTGCATCAAGTGCTCTTCTCGATTCTGCCTTCAATGAGAGACATTTTAAGAAACGTGGAAGAAGGTAAAGCTTATATTGCTTCCAGGAATGGACCTAGGAGGATGTTTGGCAAGAGAGATAATAAAAAGGCAAAGGAAGATTCCTGCATGAGTAGATCTTACACTAAGCATTTTAGCTTTGGATCCTCTATTTCATTCTAATGTGATCCGTGGCAGGGGTATATCACCAAAAGTGGTCCAGTTTGCAACTGTATTTTTGAACAGCAGAGCCTAACTTATAGTTGTAATAAATCAATGTTTCAGTCAGTTATTTTTTGTATTTTAAACCAGAGACAGAGGAGATAAGATGTCAATGCTACTTCTTGCTGCTTTTGCCAAAAACTGAGATTGTCAGGCAGGACTGATGGGCTCTTTAAATTTTTTATTTAAGTGTGGTTGGCTCACTTTGGAAAGATCCACCCAGGAAACAAACTCAAATCTAAAAATGGCTTAAAGTGAAGTTAAAGTCCAAATGTAGCCCCAAAAGTAGTACATACACAATTATATACATAAAATTAAAATTAATATGTATATAAACATATACATGTAAAAAGATAGTTAAAACAGCCTTGCACTCCCCTCTGCTCATTTAGCTGTCCTGATCAAAAAATGCTACAAGAGAACAGCTTGCATTTAGCATTATGAACAGAACAACTTTGGGCAGCCTGCATTTGTCTTTACTTTGTCAATTGTTTAAGAAACTGGACACGAAGAAGCTCTTATTTGCATGACTTCCCTCACTATTCAGGGCCTCATAACCCTGAATAACAACAGAGGAAAAAGCAGAGTGGATTTCACTGTCCCAACCATCTTGGTCAGATTTGGTTCTCGCTCCTCCCCACCTTTCAGCCATCCCCACCCGTATCAGAGTTCCTGATTTTTCTTTTGAAGGAGACCTAAGGAAGGGTCTGTTTTGGCTGACGTTGGGCAGACAGGCATATGATCCATGCAAGTTCTAGAGCAGAAATGCAAGAAAATATTTCTTACCACCAGCAAGACCTGTAACTTCACCATTTTTCAGAAAGACAACAGCATAAGTTTTGGACATGTCCCGTATCCAGAATATGTTCCACTGCCCACTGCAGGAGTATCAAAATGTGACTCAGCTACAAGGCCAGAACCTCTCAGTAAGCAGACACAGTCACATTGTTGCTTCTTACAAAAATTTGAAGTGTGGCAGTTGTGGCCCTTATTTCAAGGTAATGACAGAAAATGTTACCACTCCAGAGATCTGCAGTCACAGTTGCACTCCAGAGAAGTGTGGACTTTCGTCAGTTGTAGGAATTCCCATTCATAAAAATAATTTATTTGACAGGAATCTCAGATAATTTCCAGCTGGGTAAGGAAATATTCTCTCTGTGGAGCAAGAGTAACTGTAGCACTGGAAAAGTGAGGAGCTGAGATCACACTAATAGTCTGCTACCAAGCTTCTTTCTAAGTCCCGGGAGGCACCTTATTCCCTACTAGGACCATTCTCCTTTCTTTTTCATCACTATTGGTTAATCTGGTGAGCTTGATGTTATGGTGACTTCATGACTAGAAGCTTCTGCTGACTTCAATAGGAGTTGGGCTAATACACATGTTTCTCAGAATTAATGTCTGAAAATGCACCTCAAAGTTAAAAATGTAAGTTTTCAAACTAAGGCAAATGAGGGGAAAAAAAACATAGCAGTGTCTCTATTCAATGAAACTGGAAGGCTCACAGGAACCTTGAAGGATACTTCAGTTATGATCTGGCTTGGTTTTGGGGTCTTTAGCTTAAAGGATATCTGTCTCCTTTTCAGGTAATGAGGCTGAGCCCAAGTTCTGTGCAGAATTTTCTCTTAGCATCAAGATTTTAGTTACCTTCTAGAATCTGAAAACAGGGGGGAAAAAAAAAAAAATCTAAACTCTCACCTTTTAACTTTTTCGGGAGCTTGAAAGTACTGAACTTGCTGATAAATATTAAGGAGCTTTTCACTGTCGCCATGATAAGTTGGAAACAAAACTTTCACTGAGACTAAAAGTAGTGGAAGTAAAGCTCTAATTAATTTCAGGAGAGCACAGCCAGTCAAGTCTGATAATTCTTCTACAGGTTCAAAAGAGAAGAGACTGAAAAAGGCTTTGACTCATCTGTCATTTATGCTGCCCTAATATACATAGGCTACAGAACTTCTTCTGAGAGCAAACTCAGACTGAAGAAGAATTCTCAAAGCTCATTATACGGTACTTGCAAATGAGTTGAAGTGCTAAGTCTTTGATTTCTGGAGTCACCAAACACTGGCTCAAATCCCGACCCCCTAGCACACAGTCTCCATAACTAGGACATGCACTGAAGAAATCAAGAGGGAGACTTTTTACCTCCTTAAGAGTTTGGGACAACAGTAGAGCCAATTCCAGCTTTAACAGCTCTCAGACACATCTTCTCTCCACTGCAGTGGCAAACATACTGATGTATTTCAGTGCCCTAGAGTGTTGTCTCTCTGGCCCTGGGGGGGCTCTAGTAGTTCCTTCTGGGCTGTGTCGTGTTGGCCTCCCTGTACAACAGATTCAGTGGCTGCATGGTTCTGCTTGGGTGCTCAGAAAGAGTTGGGAAGCTGTACAACATATTGCACCTCTCTGCAAAGATTACCTCACAGATAAAAATAAGGCTATGAAACGTTAAAGAGTCCCCAAACTCTTTTGCATCGCTATCAGCCAAATCCCTGTTACCATTTGTTACAACACTGTCCAGAAGGGCAGGAGCACTTTGATAGGAATATATTCCCTAACCAGGCTATGGAGTGGGCCACTAAGAGAGCTGTGCATCACAGGATTAGCTTAGAGGCAGCATTATGCACCATGGATTCTAAGGGGCAGCGGTGTGGGGTAAGCCAGCTAACATTGCCATTTCATTCTTATGACTATTTACAATGGGTGGGGAGGAGAGAGAACAAAGAAACACTTTCTTACAAGTGCTTTTCCAGAGTGGTGTCATCTGAACTCAGAGGATTAAGTCTTCTACTGCCATAGACTGACATAAATCAATTGCCTTTAAGTACTGTAGCTGTATTAGATCTGGCCCAGAGCTTCTTCAGGTCATCAGAAAATATGTTATTAGTTAGTTACTTTTGGCATCTCTAGGACTCCATTTCACTCCCAGGAGGCAAAAACTGATACAGAGTTACATGACTGAAAATATCCTCCATGTGGTTAACTTCTTTATGATCACTGAAAACTCAAGGAATGAGCTCTCTATTTCTGTTCACTTTGTCAGATTGAGCTGCTGTGCAATTCAAAAACTGAGTCAAATCTTATAATCACACAATTAAAAATCATGAGGGAAACCTTTTGCAGTCTCAACAGAAAACAGTCTAAGGTAATGGTTTGGGTGCTTTTCTTATTATATTCCTTGACTACATGATTCTGCTGTTTGGGTTTGACTATTTTTTTTTCCAGCTAAGTAGACCCATACTCTGTGGGCTGCTTACAGAGTGCTGGTAACATCATCAAGGCTATGGCTGATCACTATGCCAGGAGCATACTAGATGGAAAAGGATTTACAAATGTCAAAACACTCCAGAGAAACAGGCAGCTTACAGCCCAAGGGAGCAGAAATCATCCTTTTAGTTAATCTCTGCAGAGGGTTTTGTAGACTCTGCATAGGATATCCATCACCAGGGGTTTCCAAGAGGAAAGGAAGAGAGAGGGAAAGTGTGAGCAGTCACAAACTTATCATCAGTAGGGCTTAAAAATATAGGCTCTCCCACTTTGTGGAGGACAAATGGCCTAGATTCCCTGTGATCCTTTCTAGCTCAGTGTTGGGTTTGTTTGTTTGTTTTGAGTTGATTTTGTTGGGGTTTTTTTAACTGTTAAGACCTAATTTATTCCTTTAATCCATAGCAGAGAAGCTGCAGGCTCCTCAAAGGTAAATTACAATTCCTTAAGTGGTGGTTTTCTGGGTTACATGAAAGACAAACTAGTCTCAGGAATTATACATAGACACTGGTTTGATTTCAAAAGCTCTTAGTACAGAGGATGTAAGTTATCTAATTGGTCTTTTGTACAACAAACCTTTCCTTTCTTCTAATGAGAATAACACATCTAAATTATTGTTCTGTTACTAGGTCAGGCCACAAATTAAGTAAAACCTGATGCAGTCAGTTGGCAATCATAACATTATATTTCCATTTAACATAAGCATGTTAATGGTTAAATTTGGGGAACACATTTTGCATGTTTCTTTACAATTTCTGCCTCATCTTTCACAGTCAGAGCAATGAAATAAAGTGTCTATTGAGCAAAGCAGCAAGTGTCCAGGAGACCTTCTTAGGGGATGCTGTTACAAACTTGTCTCCAACTTACCTTTCTTCTATAGCTCCCTAGAGGAAAATTGAGGTGATGCTATCAGGCTGATCTTTATGATACTGGTCATCTGTTTTTCTTGCCTGGGAATAAATGTATTCCTCCAGATACCCCTGTGGTCACAAAGAGAAGTGGATAACATCTCACTGAACTTGGACTATAGTTCCTACATCTTTTTCTGAAGTAGTTCATGATAGTAGTGGGTGGCCAGGTTTTCTTCTCCTAAATACTCAGTTGAATAAAAACCACCTTCCCCTTGTCCTTACAGCTAATAATTTCAGATAGACTACTATTTTTTTGAGGTCATGAATTCTTAATAATCTAAAAAAGACACTTTTTTTTTTTCCTGTTGCCTACAGCAGAGAATACATCTTGTGTCACCCTCAGGCTTGGACTTCCCTTGTATCACTCAAGGGACAAAGCAACTTCAATTCCTTTTCCTATTGCTAATTAGAAAGGAAAATAAATTGGTTAGCAATCATTTATATCACAACTAGTGAATAAGAGGAGCCCAGGGACTATTATTTCATAAACTCAGGGAGCGGTGAATTTAAGGGCTGGTGTAGCAAGGAATAAAATTTTTACTAGGGATTTAGAAATCTAAGCCATGGGTTTTACAGCTTCTTGCTCAGAGTCCTCAGTTTTTAAAGACCTCATGCAGTTTGGCAGGGTCCGAAGTGCTTGGCCAAATTTGCATTTCAGGAGCTTTCCACCTAAATAAGCCAAGGAGAGGGGGGTCAAAACCGAAGGAAGAAGCTGTGCTTTGGGTTTGGTGCATCAGGAAGACTGTGGGAGCAGGACAGACTCCCAGACACTCCTGATCACAGCTTAACCCGCACCTGGGAAGGCGTGAGCAGGTAGCAGGTGACCTAAGGACAGCTGATGATGTAGTCAAAGTTACCCAGGACAGAGAAGTTATTTCCTTTGACTCTAACCATGCTCCTTTGCAACAGTTCCATGTGGCAGCTTAATATTCACCCTCCCCTTAACATGAATGGTAAGACACTGCTGAGTGGCCTTTCATATAATATTGAGTGCATTTAGAAATTAAAACAAACAGCACACCTGCATGCAAAGCTCTTCCTGTTGGGCTTTGTAGAACTGAAAATATGTTCAAAACCTCCCTCTTTCTGCTTTATCAAATTTTTTTAATAAGTGCTGAAATATTCTGATGTGAGGTTATAATTCATATTATTCTTGACTAAAATTCTGTCCCAGCCCAAGTTGTGATTTTAACCTTCTTCATGAATGGGCAAAGCTAAAAATTGAGTATTTGAATGAAGTGTATTAAATCAGATATTCCACATCTACAATCCAACACTGAAAGAAATCTGTAGATTTTTCATATAATCTTGTCTCACAGTAATCAGCAGAATAAAAGAAATACTATTGAATCACTCAGTTTACAGATTTTGCAGCCACACCAATAAACCTATAATACCTTACTGTTAAATAAAAGTTAGTGCCAATTAAAGCAAACAACCCTTTCATCACTAAGAACTACATATGCATGAACTCTTACACATCTCTGTTGTATAAAAGCTGTGCAAGAAGGCTCCTTTAGGAAGCACAAAGCAAGTGAACTGGCACTGCTTTAAGGGTTGCACAGATGTGATGGCTCAGAACTGTGCCCTTCCATAAAACACCAAACACTGCCATGCCACAGCTGCATTGGGGTCAAATGAAACACTTGCAGGTAAGAAGATCTTTTATTTTCCTGAGAAGACAAATCCAAGCCAATTTAATTTAGTGTCAACCCAATGTTTTTCTTAATTGCTGATCGAAGAGCCCCTCCTAATTCAGAGCTTGCAGCTCTGATTGCAAGCCACCCCTCAGCTTGTTTCTAGAAGCACAGCTTTGAGGAGGTTTGTGTTGATGCTCAACAGAAATGCTTCATAGACTCAATCACAGGAGAAACTGCATCAAGTAGAGAAAAAAAACATACATCCATGAGCAATTTACAGATGAAAATTTCAAATATCTTTCTAGTGATTCTAGCTGTAGAATGTATTTTAGCCCCATGCGTCTTCAGAAGACTGAATATTCCTCTAGTGCAAATGATATTTGTAGGCGGTTCAATAGCAACTAAATACCATAACTATATTATAATTCTTAAACAAATAAAAAGCAACACTTGAAATGGATACACCAACTTTTCTATTTCTACCTCTTACAAAATACTTTCACTTGGGCATCTAGTGTGTGGCTGTGGAAGACTGAAAGAAATTTGGACTTGAAAAAAAAAAATTACAGCAAAGCTCAGATCTAAAAGAAAACTTGAGTGACCATGACTGAAGTTTCCTATTTAAATCTTCCCTCTGCTACTACAGAAATTCACTGCTTATGCCCTGTAGCTCTTTTACTCTTGGCTATATCAGCTGGTGCTTGGGAGAGCAAACCTGTTTTTTTGGGGTAGCAGCATTTCTGATAGCTTCTGAAATTAGCAGGACTTGAATACACTCCCCTTCCCTCTGCAGCCTTTGTCTTTGGGGGATGAGGAGGAGGAAGCAGACATCATTTGTGCTGCTGTAAATTGATTTAAGAAGGTAACTGAAGTATTGCCTCCTCTCACTATTTTTGCCTCAGGTTTAAACATGCTGTTAGAAAATAGAAGACATAACACAAGCTATATTCTGTATTAGATGTTACCAACAGATCCACTGTCACAAACAAATCACACTTGGCATCATCTTTCCCAAATACCTTATGATTACAGATTTAATATTTGTTTTCTAAACAGATGCTGAAATGTTTATTTAATAGCCACTCTGTTGGTGACCATTCCTGGCATTAAGCTTAGATGCAAGGACAGCCACACAAAAACAGGAACAATGTGGACCTGAGTTTTTGCAACAGAAAGTTTTAGAAATGAAATTAGCTGTCACAGAAGTTTGTAATGCATCTTCCCTCTTCCTTCATTTTCACAGGGTGTCAAGCACAAGCCTGCAATGCTGTGATGAACTTGAGAATGATTTTACATCCATGATATTTTTAGGGAATTGCAGCTGGGTATTAAATGAATTGCCTGCTCCAGACAGTCCTGGTTGTTTTGTTTAAGGACAGGGGCTGCTATGAGCTTCACTTCCAGTTCTCTGCCTTGCTGTGCCCTATAACTTGATTATGAATTTGAGTCTACCTAACTGTTCTGAGGTATTCAATAAGAAGTTTGCATACCTGTCACAACAGATGCAGTCAGAAGAGTTTTGGAATGAAAAAGCAGAATGAAGCATGAAAGTGCCACTGGAGGACACTAAGATTTGTTTGCAAAGACAGCACTGGAGAAGCAGAAACTGTGTTTTTTCTAGCACTGTTTTCCTTCACATAGCTACAGATGCCGTGTGTGAAGTGTTACCTTACATGGAACTGGAAGAGAAACTCTGCATCTGTACTGCCACACGGGCCCTGACCCTGCAGGCCACACGAGCAGCCACACTGCCAGAGCAGATGGGGCCAGGCAAAGCTACTGATCCTCCAGGACAAGCTAGTACTGCTACACTTCATCATGCCACGTTGGAGTGCCTGGCACAAATCAGCAGTATTCTTCTGGCATTCTTCACAATTCAACCATCACAGGTAGAAGGCAGAGTGACCCTGAGTAACTAGAGCTCAGGGTGTGTAATGATAACACAATCCTGTTGCTTGCTTGAAGGGCTGTGTTGCCTGCAGGTAGCTGCATTATCACTGTTTTGGTTTGCAATGACTGTCCTTTGTGCACTGGAAGTCAATCACTCTCCTTACTGAAGGACAAGCCCTTTCCTCTCATGTTTTTGCAATGGCCAAACTACATAAGCACAATAAGCAAAAGAGACCATCAGCCAAAATACATCAGAACAAGTTAACATCTATAATTTTATGCTTCACTTCTTGACTAACTGAAAAGGCTGACTTCTAAAACAACACAAAGATCACTATGATAATGATGAGTTACTTACTCACATTACTTTTGTACCTGCAAGTTTCAGCCAAGAATTCACGCTGCAGTGCCCAAGGCCATGTGTGAGGGACTTACCCAGGTGCCAGTCAGTGCTTTTCCTCAGTGAAGGAGGCCTGGTTAGAATGTGCAGCAGGCTCAGGTGAGAGTGAATTCAACAGCCTGGGACTGTGTGGGTGCAGATGCACTAATGGACTGCTACAGCAGATAATTGTGAGATCACACAGGAAAAAGGTGTTTACAGGGAGCAAAAGGCAGAGTCCAGGGAGTCATCACAGCAGCGAAATGAGGTTTAATTACTTTGGCAAAGCTTGCATTTTAGATTGTTTTAGTTTTCACTCGTCTCCATAATGCATATAAAATGGTATGAGGTAGTTGTATGGTGCAGTCAGAGCAGGAGAAGATACAAAAAATATTTAATGTTCCGGACTATGTCAAACCTAATTTTTAGTTGTCCATTTTCTTTTCATTTTCCACTGTGATAATTTTCATTCATGCTTGCTCATCTCCACAAGTTTGTACAGTATGCTAAGTGGAACATCTGCCTATCACTCATTGTTTTTCTGCTCATTTATGCAGGGTTCATTCAGTGTGATGGATGGGGTAAAACCAACAAAAAAAATTAGTCTTAGTTTATGGAAGGAATACATCCAGCTGGGAACATCTTACTTTCCTGAGAATGGACCACTTTGGAATATACCACCTCAGCAGACAGCCAAGTATGCATCAGTAGAATAAACTACCTTCCTCACTGTTTGTTATCTGTTCTTGCTGGAATCTTGTATCAACACTTAAAGAATGAATGCCAAACATCACATGTAAATATTATTAAGTGCTCTACATTTCTTATCTCTTTAGAAGTATTTTTAATTGATAGAAGTACTTCCAATTATTCATGTTTTTTATTTTATGTTTATTGCAATACTTTTCCTTGGCAGGAAAACAACTGTTATGTGCACATAAAAAAAAGCTATTAGAAGTAATTTGGCCCCATGAGTGTTTCTCTAGGTATTTGTGTGGCCCCTGGCTACATGGATGTGTTCTTATGCAATAGGATTTAGTAATCTGCAAACAGATTTAACAAGTGCCAACCAAGAGCTCCCTAAGCAAACCTCCCCACATAACAAATCAAATATACAATTCAAAAATAGAAACTCAGCATAAGGTTAGAGTTTTACAGAAACATTATTCCAGTGTTTTGTTACATAAATCCCTGAAGAGTGAAGAAACAGAGGAAACTGCTTGGTAAACAGGCATAAAAATTCTATCATGAAATAATTCAGTGACTCAGGAACGTATCTGAGACACCACATACCTGAATTCATAACCTTCCCATGTCCTATTCAGACAAGAGTTTTGCAGCTGTCCAGGGAAAACCTCCTAATCATGATCTATTTGCCACTCTGCTTTTGCATTCTCGTAGTAACAAGAATTTAAGGAAGAACAAGTCTCTATTAAAAGATGAGTCTGTTTTAGAGAATCAATATTTTTGTTTGGAAAGATAATATATCAAAAAAACCCAAACCATTTATCAGTTCTACTTCCAGAGACACTAAAGGACTTCAGAGCCAGGGTGTGCAGAGGGAAGCTCTACTTCCCAAGGGACCCTCCACCTCCCTGCAGGTAGAGATCCCTGCTTTGCAGAAAGCCCCTGAGGTCGACCAAGGAGCTTTTGGGATCCAGCTTAGAAATGATGACAGGAGCAAGCCAAAGGGAAACTTTTTCAGAAGATCCCAACGACAAAACAGCATGAAATCAAGACAACTAATAAGAATCCTTCTTAGTGGATATTTAAGATCTGAGGGACTGAAGAACAGAAAAGGCAAATCCTTTATTTAGAGACTCAGGTCACTTGATATTATGTGATTTGAATTTAGGTTTGAGAGGCAGGGGTGGAGGGAAGGGAACGTTAAGATTGTATTGCAGCAGAGCAAGGATCAAGGGTGGCTGCGATATGAAATTTGCTCTAGGCAGAGGAGAAAATGGAAATCAATCAAACTGAAACTGCCACTTGTGCAGCAGCAGAACCTAAAATACGAGCAATAGAGGTCCAAGGGGAAAAACAACCTTAAGCTGGGAGAACTTGGAATTATGGAAAATTAGAAAACTGGAGTCTTACCAGGATTTTAAAATGAGAGCAAAAGAAAATGAGAAATTATTTTAAATAGAAGAGAAATTGCAGCACCGTGTCTGTTGTAATTAAGAACTAAGCAAGAAAAGCATGGAGAAGGAAAAGCCAAGGAGTAACACTTACACACTTACATTCACGATGAAATTATCTTAAAGAAAAAAGATCATCAAAACCTGATAAGAGTGCCCTGCAGATCATATTCTGTTAATTTCCTAAGCCCTTACATGACCTCTCAACTCTGCTTTAGATTAAAGGTTGTCCTTGAGCTCCTGACTGCATTGAATCGGCTTTTGATCACATCATTACAATAAAAATTACTTTCAGCTTGACCTGAAAACAAAGAAGACTAGCTTTTACTGCGTTAGGAAATACTGGAGTTGGTCTTGCAGTGATTCAGACATTGACAGGGAGAAATGTTATTCCATCTTGCTCAGGGGACAGCTTGGGATAAGAATATTAAAGTTTTTATGGTCACTCCGATGAGTGCTGCAATTGTAACACCACAGCTTATTCACACGATAGTACCAAGGGAGTTTTAGTACAAAATCACCAATTGCTGCTGGAGTCAAAGCAGAGACTCCATAATCCACACAGCAGTGGCCACTTGAAGCCTGGTGCTGGCTGCTGCATTTAACCTCCCCTGAACTGAAGGAGTCAGGCTGCCATGTCAGCGCAGCCTTCTGCAAAAGCACAAGCTGGAGCTAAAGCAATGCTATTTGTCCACATGGATATTTACTATTAAGCTGAGAAAACATAACCTGGAACCGTGGGAAGACTGAAGGCCTCCAGAGTCACTGAAGCAGTGCCACAGGAAGGATTGCACTCAAAGTGCTTGGAGCACTACGCAGGTGTGCATCACACTTGTTCAGATTTATGATGGAAAATACATCTGCTTTTGATATGTTCACTGTGTGGCAAGTATGAAAGCACAGATATGGTTTATTATGGAATGCTACTGATGCAAGACAAATAATGTCAAAGTATTTTCTCCTAGAGAAAATTGCCACTATGTTTCCCACACTGCAAGTCCTTGGATCTGAGCTCTGAAGCCGGTCTCTTGAAAATGAGAACAATTCCCAGGAAGGTTTGTCCCAAAAGACTTATCAGCATGGCAAGTTTTATCCCAAAGAATTTCTTTAAGTTTTCTTACGATAAATTTTACAGATACCTTATAAATGCCATTTCCCCACTAATTCTTCATGGGCCAGTTTGTACAAGTTCAACACTTAGTGTGTCTCTACCATCTGCAGAGAATATCTCAATGACATTCCCATTTCTCCTACCACATCTGATCTATGCCAGATTATCAAAACCCCTGTAATATACATCTGATCTATGCCAGATTATCAAAACCCCTGTAATATCATGAGATAAAAAAAAAAAAAAGAAAGAAATAATAAGTTCTTGCAATTAAAGAAATATGTAAAGGCTAAATCTGTGATGAAGACTCTGAAGTATTTCCATAGCCAGTTTTCACTGCTTCAAATGACCCATCCTTATGAAGATGGATCAGTAGGTCTTACAAACGTGTTGAGGCAAACCTAAAAACATTCTTTAGCAATCTCCTTTTTGATAGCTACTCTGCCTCCTCTCTTCTTCCCTCTGTCTCCCCTTCCCTTCCATTTTTAGACATCTGCTCACCATAGTTTTCACAGGCAAGTTTTCTACTTTTTTTTCTTTTACCACACTCAAGCCTCATTTAAAAAGAGTGCACAATTTAAACGCACATGGGTGAGTGCATTCTTTCAGGAATCACTGCCACATAGCAAACCACACTGTTCATCCTGAGATAGTGCTTGGAGGTGTGCCTTGTACAGCTAATGCTCTTGACCCAGATCCTCTCCATGTCCACCCAAGAAGATCAAGGCAACCTTGAGAAATCTCATTTAGCTTTCAGAGTTGGATCAACTGTTATATCCTTTTTAAAATTAAATTTCTAAAAGGACTGAAGCAGACTGCTTAATGCCCTAGTAACCAAAGCACAGTGATCCATGGAAATCTCTTCAGCATTGCTCTGACTAGAGGTTCCTACACCCAGCTTATCAGCTGAGCACCTTCCAGCCAGCATTAGAAAACACAGCCAAGGTCTGTCACATGCTGTTTGTTCTAATCTCTGCTCCTCACTCTCCCCCTGCACACCCACTTTCCCTCAGGCTTGTGCAGAGTCCCTTGCTTTGGTAGCTTTTTTTCCCCTGAGAACATAAATCTTACTATATGTTTGTGCTATAGGTTGGAGGATGTGTGACTTGTTCCTGGGATTTTTTTTTTGAAAGCTACAGCAATCTCTAGCTGGCAGGAGAAAGTTTCACTGTCTTGAAGACCATCCCAGGAAAGATTCATCTCCTTTCTAGGCTCACATGTGAAAGTGCATTTACTGACCTGCAGGTCTGGCTGACAGCTCACCAGTACACCACTGCAGAGCAGTGGGCAATAGATAGAGTGGTGGAGTTTTTAGACAGAGTATAAATCACTGCCCAGTGCTACTTTTGCTTCAGGTGCTACAGGCACAGCTGCTCTTCACAGGTCTCAGGGAGTCCCTCTGTGCCAGCTCTGCTGGTGCCCTGGCGCTGTGAGAGTGCAGGAGCACTGTCAGGTGAGCTTCTCGGCAGAAGCAGCACCCACAGGGGCCGTGCTCAGGGCAGCCAGAGTGCTGCTTGCAGCCTCCTCACAGCTCCACTGCTGCTGCAGCCCTGGGCAATGGTCATGCTGCACCAGACTGCCCCACACTGAGTGCAGACAGCAGCCAGCAATTGCCAAGTGCGTGTGGAGGAGTTTGCTGTGCGCTCTTCCATGAAACAAATACACCCCTTGAGAGCAAGAGAAGGGTGTCTGTATCTGTTCCCAACACAAGACATGAGCCCCAGTCAATTTCCCAAACACTCAGAGGAGGAGCTACCAGGATTCTGCATGTTAAAATGAGGTTCTGAAGAACCTTATAGAAGCATCAGTGTGTAAAATGTGGGTGTGGCACAAGGAACCACTCCTACCCTCAAAAAGCTGGTGTTGGAGAGGTCTTCTTTTCTCTGTAGTGCATTGAGGCATTTTCTTCACAACAGAACGCCCACTGTTGTACCAGATGACAAGGCTGAACAACTTCTCACCCCCAGAAGCTGCTCACCAAGCTCTGTTACAGCTTGGTGCTGCTCTGGGAAAACCTGAGGCATTTTCTCTAGCACACTATTTAACAGAAGTTTCTCTCCCTGTTTCACTGCAGGACCTTCCTGCTCATGCTTTTCTCTACCAAAACGTTCTGCAGAGTCTAGCAGGGGTAAAACTTCAGTTTTCCTGCCTTGGGAAAGCAACACCAGCATACTTTGCCTCCCTCCACCCCCTCCTCCACGTTGGGACGCAAGGAGTTACAGCGCAATAGCTAAAATCTATTTTGCTCCTCAACAACATCCCTTCAGCACATTTTTCTTAAATCAAGCAGTGAAGTTTTCACTTGAAAAGTGTTTCCAAGTTAAACTGATCTAGTTCCTCCCTCCCAAAGCCATCCATGATATTTTTCTGCTTTACACAGGAGCCCCACAGGGCACCAACTCCACTCTGCTCTTCTAAGATACCCTTTAAGCATCTTCCCACAGATGATTGAATCTGAACTCCAGATGTCTGCAGACACAACCTGCAGCAGCAGGTAATTAAAGTACAAGCAACACTGTGTGAGTTTGAGTATGGACCTGCAGAATCCCCTGGCTTAAAGCCAGAGCTCAGTAGGCCCTGTCAAGGATGAAAGCAGAGTTTTATGCCCTTGGTGGTCAAAGCTGAGGATAGATTCAGATTGTTTAAAAAGTAAAAAATAGTTTCTGGTAGGGAAATGAGAGGAGGAATACCACCACTGTTGCCATGAAGTGAGAACATCTCATAGACACAGTCAATATGTGAGTACTTTCATGAGACACAGCCCAGAAAGAGTCCCATAACACCTCAGCTAAACCCTTCTCAGAAGGGAATCACCAATATCCTACAAGCCTCCAAGGGGTACAACCAGTTGCACCAATAGATGCTCTCTTCCCTAGAGCCTCCAGGCAAGTTTACTTAAGAAGTAAAAACAAAACATACCCTCTTCCATTTTTTTCTCTGCTCCTGGCTATAACATCTCACATGGAGCACAAGAGCCTCTCCAAAGTTTCTTCATCTGCAAGTCCAGGAATGTAGGTCATGCTTCAATGAAGTCTCATGAGGATCTCAGATCCACAGCTGAGCTCCTGCCAAGGAAGCTACCAAAAATGCCATGCAAGGTGCAAGTTTGTGTGCAGCCACATTTTTTCTCATTTCTGTCACACCCTCACCCTCTGGCAAGACTCTGAATTTCCTTGTTTGCTTGTTCTTCCCTGAAAAATGGCCGAGGGCCAGACTTAGCAGCAGAGAATGATTTCTTTCCAAGGCACATGCTTAGCATGAGCCCTAGAGCATTAAAGGGAGACCCTCTTCCTCATATTTATTTCAGGAGCTAATACCTGAAAAATCCAAGGCCGTATTTAATCTATTTTTTCTCTAACACAACAACTCTAAAGCCATCTACTTGTTAGCAGTGCTGGCAAGCTGAGGCACTTTCTTAAAGGGTAAGTGGAAGATCATGGGGGCCTTTACTGCTCCAGTAAAAAGAATTTTATTACAATTTGCTCTTTCCTTCTTGTTCTCCATTCAGCATACATGGCAATGTCATCTCATGTAGTCATAATTAATTTCTGGAAAAGAGGTATTTTATAACTTTGACACAGACACATTGCATTGCCACGAGGAAAACAGATGCATGGGACAAAACAAAAACAGCTTCCAGCGCTGGTCTTCTACAGTCACTGATTTTAGTTGGAACTCACTTCCACAGAGCTGCCTTCAGAGACACCAGCAAGAGGAGAACTCCACCCTGGAAGTGCACATGCTCTTCCTCCACAATATTGGCACTGAAATGCAGGTTGACAACTCCCATATCTGCAACTTTCCAGGAGAGCTGGCATGTGGGCAGAGGAAATGTAGCTGATGGGAGATGAAAGTATATGAAAGCATTTTGTTTGCTGAGAAGGAGGAATGAGGGAAAGGCACTCAGGTCTTGCTTCATGAGACCCCCTGCTCCCAGAGTGAAACTTGCTGCTTACACAACTGTGTCATCCTGCTCTGGTTCAGACTCTCAGCCTCCTTTGCAACACATCAGCCTGGAATAAGCAACTCTATAAACAAGGATACTCTCAGATGGTCACACTGGGTTAGACATTAAATGTCTGTGTATGTCAAAGTCATATACAGAAGAGAGAATCAAAGACAGAAAAAGAGGCGGAGGGGAAGATTCCTGCAGAAGGAGATGACATTGATCATCAGGCTCCGTCCCAATTCTCTTTAGAGAGAAGTGCATCCCTCACTACAATGTTTACATGAGTACATGCAGTATTCCAGCTCATCTTTTGCCTTTTAGAATCCATGTTAGCAGCTAATACATACACACATGACATTAAGCTGATGCCAGACAAAGGCAGTGTGTTTTAGGGCTGGATTCAGCCACATCACACCTGCCAGGGTGCCCACAGAGCCACACTCCTCACATGCCAGCATCAAAGGGGTGAGTCTAGACTCCCCTGCCCGAGGGTGCGTGCAACCTTGCCAAGGCCATGCCGAGACTGTTTAATCCTATTAAGGCATAAGCTGGAAGTACACGATACTCATTAAAAGAAAATAGCTTGCTTTGTTCCTGAGATCTAAACCCCACAGCAGCAGACACTGGGATAACCCACCATTATTGACCCCTGCAGACAGGGCTTGCCATTCCCAGCTCCACTGTCAGGAGAAATCTCATAGCCCTGCTCTTTGCTCCCATATGAAAATATAGATTTAGAATCCCTACTCAGGACAAATGTCAAAGTTAGAGCACACAGATTTCCAAAGGGGAATGGCAAATATGAGGGTCCAGCTAATCCTTTGGGTGCTGTTTTACAGGCACACAGGGTCCATACAGAACCACAGCCAGTTGTCACTGTCCTCACATTGCCCTTCTCACTGGCAAAATACCAGGTGGACAAAATATTAGCTGGTTGTATAAGTCAACAAGTAAGTCTTTTAAGAATAGTAATTATTTAGCGAAAGTTAAAAAAAACCAAACAAACTAGGTAGATGGGCTGTGCAAACTCATCCAGGCCTCTCAATGCATGGAAGGGGCAGGAATTCCACAGCACATGGGGCTTGTCTGAGCATCCAGCTAAAGTACAAGATTGCCAACGGTTTTAGCTGTTTCCAATATTTAATTTAATTGTTAATTAATTTAGCTCTTTCCAATATTTAATAGTTAATTAACAATTAACTGTTAAACTTCTGAAATACGAAGAAGTTTTCCCCTTCCAAAACTGTTTATTTTTAAGGTACTTGTGCTGCAGTGCAGCACACACTGTTGATTACATACCACCTTAGTAAGGAAGTGATGAAATCAGCCTAGTTGCTTTTATTCATTCCACCTATAATGAGCTGAAGCAATTCCTTCCAGTCTCATGCCATTGGGAAAGACAGAGCTGTTTGTATCCAGGTAACCAGTGCTGGCACCACAGAGCCTGCTGCAGATGTGTGCCCAGGGACACACCTCCCCGATCGGAAAGGGCTGAGGAGGGGGGAAACCCTCCTGAAGCAGTACCACACCTGACCCTACAGAAGCCAATTCACTTGTTTGCCACATTTCCCAGAGAAGCCTGGCGGGGGTGTCCAGGCTCTGGGCTGCTTTGTGAGTACATAGAGCTGTGCAATAAACCCATTCCACCCTGCCCCCCTCCTCACAAACAAACAAACAAAAAAATAAACGAAACAAAGAGGAAAAGAAGCAGGAGAACAGCAGTAAGGGGAGGACATACATATGCATGTAGCCAGGAGTTAAATGGCTTTTTTTCCTTCATGCATATGGGAACATCTTGTCTCTCTGCATGTCCAAATACTAGAGCATTGCCTCCCTGTCTTCTGATAACAGAAAGTCTGCCCCACAGTAATAACCACAAAACCTGTTACTTAAAGGGACTAGCAGCTGCTCCTGCTTCCCTGCCCCTCAATCAGTGGAGCAGTTATTCTTCCCTTCCCCTTGGTGCTTGCCTCAGGTAACTCCCTATCAGGTCTTCATTCAGGCTATTAAATTCTCTCCGTTGCTGAAGAATCATCACAGACCTTTCCATGCTCTCTGCATCCACTGGCAGTTTCTATAAAGCAGAAATCCCCCATACTCTTTACACAAGAATGTCTTTTTAAAAGGGTGATATCTAAAAACCCAATGAATAGATTTTTTTTTACAACAATAGAAAAAAAAAACCAAAAAAATTACACAACACTCCCATCAGATAGCCAACTGCAAGTGGGTTTTGGTTGTTTTTTTTTCCAAAGCCTGTGTAATCAGTTATTTCTTAAGAAGGTGCTTTATATGTTCTCCGAGGCAGCATTCATACTATCCCACATATCCTGGCCGTTGCTATGGAAATCATTCCTCCGTAAGCTGATGTGCAAATGCAGGTCTCATTGCTGAGCAGAGAGGCTAAAGGTGTGCATGAGTCAAACTATTTGCTGTGCATTATTCCTCCACAGCCTCGCTGCTGCCAGGGGACAGGAAAGGAACAATTGGTGTGTGCTGAGGGTGCCTGTGACACGGAGCTGGGCAGAGTTTGCACTGCTGGGTGGCCACAGGAAGGCTCTCCAGCTCATCTGCTCTGGGTGCCACAGGACACAGGTACAGGAGGTACAAAACAAGTCATGGTGTTTCTAAACTCTCCAGGGAGAAGGAAAGCCAGCACACCATCACAGCTACAAGGCAGGCAGTCCCTGCCCTGTCTGCAGGCCCTCAGGAAATTCAGTGATGGAATCGGGCCCTTGGCAAAGGCCTGCTGGTGGCTACTGAGAGGCAGAGAATGAAGAATGCTGGAGATCCCTCTGACTCTAGTGAAGCAGCAAGACCAAAAGGGAAAAAACATCCCTGAAAATCAGACTTCTTCACATATGCTGTGTTTGGCAAATTGACTAAACATGGTTTTTGAGCTCCTGACTACCTATGAATAAGCACCAAGGCGGATACTGGAGTACTCCCAGTCAAAACACAGCTTGATGCCAGCAGGCACTTTTCAGAAACAGCTGCTGGCCTGTCCCAAAGTAGCAGAAACAGAGAAACCTGCTGCCTCTGGGACTCAGCCCTTGACCTGGAGTGCAGGTACAGCCCTTAGAGCAGGGCTCAAGCCAAACACCAGCACTTCTCTACATATGGGAAGCTGGCAACATTTCAAGACAAGCATCCCACACCCCTTTCTTTCCCCATCCTCTGGAATTCTTGGCAGTGATTTTCACAGATATATTGAAACAAGTAGGAGGTCTCAGGACAGCCCCCGTGCCTCAGTGGTTTCTTAGTTCAGCTCTTCTACAGCCTGAAGGGAGGAACTGGGATCAAAGAGGGAACAAGGAGTGTAATGAACTCAGATTTACAGCAGGTTTTTAAGGGGGGAGAGGGTAGGGCTTTTTTTTGGCAAATGTTAGATTGGCCACCTGAATATTCAAGATTTTTTTCTTTCAAATGAGGAACTAGAAGGCTGTAGCAGACAAAGGCAGATCCATCAAAAAAGCAAACACAGGATTTTTTTTACTTCATCCCCTTGAAGAAATTGCTCCTGCAGAAAAGCAACAAGTGGTCCATCACACAAACTTCAGTTTCTGTTCATGTCTTACCCCTTTCTCACTGCTCTACAGGAAACAGGCCCTATACCCAACCTCTCCTCTGAATTATCTTCTGTCCTAAACATTAGGGAACTCTTTGAAGCTGAGAAAACAGCTTCAATTACAGAGTTACAGTAGTTGGTGAAGTTTTTACACCACCTTTTTTTTCTTTAATTTTTTTTTTATTTTCTCCCCAGTCACCCTGGGGAAAGGCAGCTAGTTAACAAACAGGTTCCAAACAGAAGTCCAGACTTCTACAAAACATCTCAGATGACAAAAGCAATAATCTCAAATCACAGGTCCTGTGAGGCACATTATAAATGGCAGCTAAACACAGTAAACAGACTGCAGCATATCTGTGTAAACAAAGCAAGCATATCTCCCTCAACAGCAGCCCAAAATAAAGGTAACACTTACCTCATTTCAGGGCTAAAGAGGAGTCTGCTGTCACCTAAAGCTGCTCCACTCCTGCTTGCCTTCTCGGTGGAGATGGTCTGCTCTCCTCTCCCCTCTTACTAGAGAAGGTCAGCTGGTCCCTGGTCCTTAGCAGAAACACCTGGTTCAGCACAGCTTGCTAGCAGAGCACAGGGGTGACTGGGATTTAAAACAAAAGAACACAGTTAATGATTCTTTATAAAGATTGTTTTAGTTTTAACTATCTGTGAGCTGCAATGGGCATTTTTCTGGTACAAAATAGCTGACTTGGTCAATGCCTCCTAATATTCTAATAAACTCTTACACCATTTATGAAAAGTACAGTGATAAGCAAATAGAAGTGTTTCCAATTGCATTAAGATGTGGTATGAATGTAAATAAATTATATTAAATCCTACTATCATAGAGAAGTATCTTATGATTTATAAGTTCCTACATTATGTAAATTAATGCCCCACAATTCTGCAGCCTGTGGATAGCTCTCTTTTGTGTTGTGATATGAACACACATACTATGCCTCAAAGCTTCCAATTACGTGGGTGGGATTTGGAGAATACAAATGACATAAAAAACTAGAGGGATTTATTTCAGGAACAGCTCAATATGATGGAATATAGTCTCAAAATCAGAGGTTATGAATTAGAGATTCTCTTTCACAGTCTTGTTAGAAAGGATATAAAAGAAACAGTGAAGGAATAGCAGAGATATAGAAAACAGCAACGTGTACATGTGCATTTAATACAATTCATCACCATTCCTCTTAGTTTTAGTATAATGGCATTCATGATGAATCATATTGTGACTATAATTTTAAGAAATGTGATTTTGAATGATGTTTTGCTATGATCTGTTTATAACATTCCTAGGTGCAGACACAATGCCACTGTTA